ACTTTTTAATTAAACAGGAACTAATTTTGTCTAAATGCAGATAATTTCTCCACACTCCTCACTATCTTTTCTAGCACTTTAAATATGGATGTTTCTAAAGAGTTATCCATTCATTTGTTCACTCCATTTTCTTTCATTCTGTTATATTTCATTTTCTTTTATTTAAAACTATTGACGTACAAACTGACGGCAATTGTTAGAAAGTCTTGAAACAGTGTATTGAGATTCAATAAAACAAAGAGAAAGAATCCACAGCTAAAATACAGGCCAATAAACTGATTAATTAATCCATCCCCTTTCTATTTTAAGATGTTCAGTGATATCTATGATTCATTGATTATTCCTGGTATTATCTAAATCGTTTATTGCTCAGTATCTTTTCCTGTTAAAGGTTTTGTGATTGATATAACAGTGAAATAGAAATATCTGTCGGAAGAAAAACAATAGAAACAGAATAACAAAGAAGGCGACGACAAAACCTATTTCAAGACCAATTTGGTGCAAAACGATCACTTAACAGACAAAGGTATCTGAGTGCTTCTCATGAAAGGCTTGAACAAATAAGACTGCAATTAGTAAAAATGTCTAAGTCGACACGTTTTTTAAAATATAAAGATGAGGACAATAGTCCGAACATGAATAATATAAATAGAGAAAACATTGTCCTAAGCAGAGAACTAAGTAACGACAAGCGAAATCTGGAAATATTTTATGGGATGAACATTTTCTCGCCTCAATTTTAAAATGTATCTTTTTTCACTTACCTTTCTTTTCCGTTTTAGTTTCATTTGTCACATCCATTGGTTTCCCTGTGGACATCAATTTTGTTTTACTACCAAGAGATGTTGGAATTGGTTTCATGCCTTCTTTTAGAGGATCTACAGTAGTTTCTCTGAAAGCTGCAGTCTCTTTGTCTAGAGTTGTGAGTTCTTCCATTTTAGATGACTTCTCGCCCAGGGGAGTCATCTCTGAAGTATTTTGAAAAAAGCCATCTTCATCTGCCATGTATAGAAAAGAATATTTTTTTAATCATTTCACAACACGCAAGGGAGTAAAGCCACTAAGATTTAAGTGGATATGGAGTGTTAGAGAGTATGAGAAAAATACTATTAAGGAGAGAGAACAGTAAAAGAACAAGAAGACAGAAAATAACGATTGACATTGCATTTAGATTTTTGAAGATCAAATTTAACTGGGAATCAATAAGACGGAAGAGAGTAACATAAACGAGAAGTGCGACAGAAGAAACAAAATGATGAGACCTTGCCGCCAATCTAGTACTGCACTGACACCCATAAAGTTTAGATACCATGGAGAAAGTTCGTCAGAACAATTACCATGAAATATTTATAGAAAAGGGAAGGGGAGACGGTGGGAGAGTGACTGAATCCGAGATGCTCGCACACTCTTCTTTGGATTTTATCAAGAACCTTCAAGTATATAGCAGGAACACCGGACCATATGTGGTAGCAATATTCAAAGCTTGGATGAATGCTAGACTTATAAATATGTAAGATAGTTTCTGGAGAGAAAAGCGAACCAACTTTCCTAGCAGCAGACCTAGCAATTGATTCAATATAATCTTTCCACGTCGTGTTGGCGGTAAATGTTAGACCGAGAAGGTGCAGCGAATCGCTCTCCTGATAGCATCATCAAGTCAGAAAGTGGTCTCTCAGGTAATTGATAGAAAGCAGTTTCGTTTTAGAAACGTTAAAATGAACAAGCCACTCCTTACCTCAGGTAACAGCAGATTGTAGCTCATTTATGAGATCAGCTGACAATTTGACCTTTTCAAACCTATTACACTTATCATTTGCAATAAATATAAGTTGATGCAATGACAAATTAGTACAAAATCACTGGTTACATTTTATAAGCTAAGAGGCATGAACCGTTTTTTTTTTGTTGGGACGACCTGTAGGTTACAGTTGAAACCTCTCAGAGCAACTTTTTTCAAATCAGCAATCCGGTGCTAAGCAGTTTGATTGTTAGATGAGTTCAGTCGTGATAACAAGCAACTTCACCGTCATCAATTAACCGCAAGAAACTTCACAACAGTATCTGTCTATATTTCTGAGATGAGGTATTATGTACACTATTCACATTATTTGGACTATTGTCCTCATCTTTGTTGCCATATTTATCACAACTCTCCAGACTGCTACACTTATGTGTGGGGCGCAGTTGAGTGAGAGACCAACAAAATTCCTTGGAAGACCAAAGATAAAATGAGGGAATGGATTATGGCAGCATTCACCAACTTAAACAAGGAGACTGTCCAGAGGAGTTGCAGGAGATTCCGAAACTGTGGTTGAAGCCAATGGCGATTTTATTGAATAAATTTACTCTTTAGTATTTCAAAATTTTTTTGTTTAATTTTAGTCAATATATCTGTTAAAATGAGATGTCAGTGTTACTTTCATTTTTGCGTCATTTATACAACAATTTATACATTGCACACTGTATATCACTATCCTGAGCCCAGTAACTAACGAGTCGTAAGGCACCGCGTGTACAGCTGCTGCGGTAGAATTGGTGTGTCTTGGGCAAAATAGCTTGGCACCCCCCAACCCTCTCTAGGCTGATTCGAATTCAGAGTTTTCCTTCTCCTAGACTGGTTGCCACCCAAGGCTACAGAATCCAGTCTGTTCTGCTATTTTAGAAGAGAAGAGATGTATTCATACATTTCGTAAGGTTAGTGAATGTAATGTATTCGACTGGAATTCGAACTCGTCTCCGCAATACTTTACTCCATGGCACCCTCCACATAGATAAATCGGATCATTATAGCATAGATACTTACATTTGTATTGGATGTTCTTTATGACGATTGGGTCAGTGTCGTTGCCGCATCCTTTCACAAAATCGATTTGTATTTCTTTACTGACAACCACCGGTTCTAGCTTTATTTTTTCCTCATACGAACATGTCAAATTAACCTGAAAATATACACAGATAAACACGTACTTAAGTATAAAGGAAAATACGCATTATATAGTGATTTATTTGAACAGTTCTTGGTTCGTATTCTTTTTTTTTTAACCATTTCATCCCAAGCCAGGCAATAAAGCCATTAAGACTCAAGGCTTTACTGAGTTTGAGAGAATATGAGAAAAACAAAAACATTATTAAGGAGAGAGAACAATAAAAGAACGGGAATTAAGATGACAGAAGATGACGATTGACATTGCATTTGAACTTTTGATGACCAAAGTTGATAGGAAAGCCGGAAGAGAGTTCCACAAGCGAGAAAGATTTTCAAAAATAAAATTATTTCGACCAATGTTAAATAAATAAACTTTTTTTTAATCGTTTAAAGCCATTAAGACACAGGGGGTTACTGAGTGTGAAAGAATAAAAAAGAAACATTATCAAGGAGCATAGACAATAGATGAAGAGTAACCAAGAAGACAGTAGATAATGCCTGACACTGCATTTAATCTTGACTGCAAAGCAAGAAGCCGGAAGAGAGTTCCACAGGCGAGAAGTGCAAGAGAAGAAACTGTTGGCATAGAAGTTACGGTTGCATCTAGCCAATTCAACTGTAAAATAATGCGAATTTAAATTTAGTAAATTCTAATATATCAACTACAGATCCTAGCAAAAAAATTAAATTTACTTCGCAATGATTCTTCTCCCCCGGTTAGCGATTTGCAAAAAACCAACATAGTTTATAAATTCAAATGCCCTTTGGGAGAGTGTATCTCCAACGAATTAAATAATATTTATGTTGGTCACACCACAAACTCGCTTTCACGACGCTTGACACTACATTTTAATGAAAACTCTAACATTTTTAGGCATTTAAAACAACATGCCTGCCCGCACACACAATTTCGTAAAATACTTGTCGAAAACACAACTATACTTCGACATGAAAACAATAGACAAAAACTAAAAATACTTGAAGCATTATACATCAAACAGTTAAAACCCAACCTAAACAAAATCAATTATGGCATCTCTACAAATATTCTTAAATGTCTATAATTGGTAACAGAAGCCATTGGTTTATACCAACGGCTTTCCTTACTTCATTCTCCAATTCACTCTCGTGTAGTCATGTGTGACATCATGAGATGCGGTGCGATTTTCGCTTCTAGCGTCTTATATGCGCGTGTTTATCGTTGCTTAGTGATCAACTATGTAAACAATGACAGAATATCATCACTGTCGTGTCCGTATATTGTTTAATATGTTTGTAATTTACATCTTTGATAATGGCTTAAGTAAGCCGAAAGCTTAGATTATATTAAAAAAATATGGATCAATATTGTGCATTTCTTTCTTCGTTTAATGATAATGTTATCAAACTTATCAGATGTTACGAACAAATTTTACATAAAATAAATAGACAACACTTGTCTATATTATTTAATGAAACGTGTATAAATGAAAATATGCCTAAATACACACAATATATATATATATATATATATATATATATATATATATATATATATATATATATATATATATATGTATTCAGGGAGGGATTTTTTTATGGAGGTAATGTCGGATTTATTATGTTGCACGTGTCTATATACACAGCGGCGAGTATGTCATTGGTTTTTGAATTTGAGAACGTTCATGAATGTTCATTAGGTGATTGATAGGTCAGTGAAAGCATGTGAAGGACACAAAATGTCCGAATTAAAAGTCTGGTGAAAAGTAAAGTGAGCGAGTAATATTCAATAATTCTTTAAAATGAATATTGTTTGAATTGTGATTATCTATCTATCTATCTATCTATCTATATATATATATATATATATATATATATATAGTAAGGTAATAAAGGGTTTGGTAATCCGTGTAATTATAAAGAAGATGTAAAACCAAAGCAAATATTAATTAAATAATTAAGAAATAGACAACCTTAAGTTTCCATGACTATAATTTATTTCCCCAGAAAATATATTTTTTCCTGCTTCATCAGGTCACATCTTTAGTTACAAAAGAATTAGGTTTCTTTTATTTTTAATACAATTTTTGAGGGGTAGTTTTAGGTTGATATAAGGTGACAGAGGTGGTGGGAGGAATATGGAAAGATCCATTTTGGAAAAATAGGGATAAGGTTGTTTTTTTTTTAAACCATCCTTAGTTATCTACTTAGGTTCAAGTGTTAACTCAGTTAAGAGGCCAGACAATTGACCTCTTAAATAATAGGAAGAGAAAAGAAGAAAAAAGGGAAACAAATATTAAAGCAGGTGAGGGGGGAAGTGGAAGAGGAAAGAAAGAGTTAAGCAGAGTGGAGAGGGAAAGAAGAAAGAGTGAGTTATCATATGTAGGTAGGTATCTCACGGTGAAACTTGAAAGGCACATAATTTGAAATAGATAAAGATCAATTATAGTTAATACATAAAGTATTAAATATTACTAGCAATATATATATATATATATATATATATATATATATATATATATATATATATAAAGCAGGATGTGTGTGTGTGTGTGTAACAAATGCACGGCCGGAATTTTCGACGATTTTTGCACCAAAATTAACATGCACATGCTCCAAGTTAGCGGAAAGACCAAGATCGACTTTGCATTTCCCAACTCCCATCGATAGTGGAAATAATCAATTTTTTCATGCTTCTACGCCAGTTTTCATGTAGTTTGGGGCCATTTTCTACTGGCCATAGTGAGAGCCTATAGCTGGCTGCCACGAATAGGCAGGAAGATTCTATTCGCCAGCGTGAGAGCCAACAGCTGACTGACACGAATGTTAACTAGCATGCTAGCATGCAAAAGAATCGATAGCTGCATTCGTCACAAGTGAGAAAAATTTAAATCTGCATGGCACTTTACTCCAATTGGCTCATTCACTTGCTTAAACACAATGTTGATTCTGATTCCGCAGAACTGGGTCGGGTGTGAAAAAGTATTTGTTGTTAACATTCTTTTTTCATTCGGTTTTTCCAGTTACGAGTTCTTTTTTTAAAGCTGATCGTTTTGTGTTCTTTTTGTTAAGTTCTTTTTTCGTAACAGATTTAATGTTTAGTATAGAGCTTAGAAAAAATTCGCAGTGTGAGATAGGCAAGAAGTAAGGCATGTAGCAACATCAGCACGGCAAAGGGATCTCCTTTAAAGGCAAGGAAGGGCAAAAATATTTTAAGTCAAGTGATAGTGATTGTTATATATATATATGTGTGTATATATATATATCAAATATGTGGTGCAGTTCAATTTACATTACATGAATCATTCATACAAAAAACAGATATAGAAGTTAATGATTTAAATGGCGAGAATACATCTTCGCAAACAAATTTAATAAAGTACATTAACCCCGAACATGTATATGAATGTTATGATCCCTGTTTATAAATTCCAGTTGCATAAGGTCTTTTTTTGTTTTTTACAAGGTTTCGTATGTTCCTACAGACATCTTCAGGTATGGAAATAGATTTGTTTTTTTTTTTTTTTTTACTTCTCGGTAATAACAGGACATCGAAAATATAGATGTAATCCGAAAAATGTTCTTAGAAATGTGTTATTGTTAATTGTAAGAAATTTTTTGGGAGCGTGCGGTCGCAACGCTGAGGTTGAATTTTTAAATTTTAAGATTGTGCGTTTTTGTACATATACATATTTCATATACAGGTTCGGGGTTAATGTACTTTATTAAATTTGTTTGCGAAGATGTATTCTCGCCATTTAAATCATTAACTTCTATATCTGTTTTTTGTATGAATAATTCATGTAATATATATATATAATATATATATATATATATATATATATATATATATATTAATCGAATTCATTCACCCCATGTATGGCACGAAGGATTACTGGGTGTGAAAGAATTAAAAACAAATATTATTGAACAGCGAGAAGAGTAAACAAGAAGACAATATATAGACAGCCCCACAAAAAAGACTGTCTTCCTAATAGAGTTAACAGTCCCTTGGGAAGAGAACAGGGTGGAGGCGCACGAACTAAAGAAAAACCGGTACGAGTCACTGCGTGCCGAGTGTATGGAAAATGGTTGGACGTGTCACGTGATGCCTATTGAGATTGGGTGTCGTGGGTTTCTGGGACATTCGGTCATTTCCTTCCTTTCAAAAATAGGCATCACTGGCCGTTGGTTGAAAAGCGTTTCGCATCGCCTTCAAAAAACTGTTCAACACGCGTCAAGTTGGATTTGGTCGAGATCAAAACAAGCAAATAAAATGCGCGCAACATCACGACCTAACATGCGCAAGTGAGATATTTGCGTGGTCGTCTATAATGATTTTTACGAGTGTGGCAATAACGGCAAACGCATTCAGGAAACTTTCATTACAGATAGAATTTACTTAAAGGAACGATTAATTAGCTTATCTTCATACCCTGCCTGGTGGCAAACGCTGCTGGTGGCGCCAGGGGTGGCGGTCCCGCCATAGCCACCGAAACCGTGATATCACTCCTGGTCGGCGGCTGATGAAGACAGGGTATCGCACGTGCTAACACACGTTGTATGTTAAAAATTAACGGTTTACATCGCATTTAAAATTTTGAAGATCCCTAAAAAAAGATCCCTAAAGGCAAAAATCTGTGGACTAAATTTCGGTTTGAAATTCCAACATATATCACCTGAAGAAGTTCGGAGTGTACACCGGCCGAAACGTCGTGGATATGACAATAAAGATGAGGACAACAGCTCGAAGAGTGTAAAAAAGTGTAAATAGTCACTTTTAAGTGTTTAAGTTTTATTACAATTCTAATCATCGCTTTTCAAAACAATAAACATTGCCGAGGAGTGAAGGTAGTTAAAATAATAGCAGTGTCAAAGGAAAACACAAGTTTTGATACACCATTTTTTTGCGGTCAAGAAGGTTAAAGATTGCCTAATTTTTTTAATGATATTGATTCAATGCTAAATGGAATTCCATTTAACATTAAATCAATAAAAAAATGTCGGTAAGATTTGAAATTATTATTTCGAATCTTACCAAACGCCCTGGGTAAGACGATATACTACATCCGCGTCCCGGGTAAGACGATAAACTATATCCAAGAGCAAGGCATCTTATCAGGAGGTTTTGAGGAGCGTGGAACCACCTCTTAATTGCTGGTGTTCCAAAGTCCACTCTAACCCGGGGTGGTAACACTTGTTAAGGTCTCAGCTATGGGCAAATAGTTAATTCCCAAAATGTAGTCAAAACACTATGAAAGTGAAAAAATAGGTTTTTGAAAAAAGAAAAAAAAAGATATCAACAGCTATACATTTTGGAAGAAAAAATATTACCAGCAATAAAAAATTTTGTCGGTATTAAATAACCCATTGAGGTGTTGATATACCATAAAACAAACGAAACCAAAAATCTTACCAAATGATTGTGTGATCCCCGGGTAACATTGATTTGTTTAATTCTGTTGATAAATTCTCCCCCACTTGTCAAGCGAAGGAACTGAATTCCTCTTTCCATTTCGAAGATGATTTTAACTCCTGTTCGATTAATTTCTTTGTCTTCAATGACGTATTCTTTTGCTGAGAGGAAAAAAAAACAAAAAAAAAAACAGTTTTTTTCATTTAAAATCTTTGTAATAGCGTATACGCAATATGAATTGTTTGTGACTTAATAAACTTTTCACAATAAGGTACGAGGAAGATTGTACTGCGTCAATTTTATGGTACATGATTTGAAAAGCATTCAAAATGTGTGATACTTACGAGGGATAGTACATTGATTAAGAGCAATTGCATTAAATACGGAATGTTAAGTGGAAGAATAAAGGAAGATTGTGATGCGCCCCCACCTCTCCAAAGAGTTGAGGATGCTGTTAGCTTAAAAGTAGTCCGTAGCAAATATACAAATACTGTGATTACAAGAAATTGCACAGATTCTTGATTACAACGCAAGATAAGGAAATGAAGATTCTGCAGCGCCAACCTCTCAAGAGTTGACGATGTTCCTATCTTAAAAGTAGTTTTGTAGGAAATACACACATTGTTAAAACACAAGATCAAAAGGATGAATAAGGGAAGATTGTGTTGTGCCAATCTCTCAAGAGTCGATGATGTTCCTAACTTAAAAGTAGTCTGTAGGAAATACACACATTCTTAAAACACAAAATCAAAAAGTGAAATAAGTGAAGATTATGTTACGCCAACCTCTCAAGAGTTGATGTTGTTGCTAGCTTAAAAGTAGTCTTAAGAAAACACAAATTCTTCATTACAATGCAAGGGCGAAATGAGGAATATGAGAAGGAAGATTGTGTTGCGCCAACCTCCATACTAAATGATGGCGCTTCAGTCCTGGATGTAGCATGCTTAACGCTGAGTTCACCAATGTAAATATATTTATTTTTGCTTTACGATAATCAAGTTACTTACTAAAATGTATGATAATTGAAATTCCTGCCAAATGTAAAGATTCTACAAAATCAAGATGGAACGTTTTTAGATCAATATTTTGTTATTGCCATGGCTCTCCACAATTTCCTGTCTTTTGTAGCACATAAATTTTGTCTTTTTTGTTATCTCTCCTAAATCCTGTTTTGCCATCGATTTACTCAAATTTGTTCTTTGATGCGCCGTGTCCTTTCGGGGTGTTGGCAATCATATTCACTCAAGCGCAAATATCCTTTCGAAAGGTATGAATCCACTTCTTCTCCCCCTCCCAGCTATGAGTAAATTAGTAAGAGTTGTAACATTAAGCCATTACTATCTCCCCCAAATTTTCTTGCACTCTAAAAATATATTCTGGCTTTAAATAACCTGTAATCGGTTAATAAACCGTAAGAAACGAATCCATCAATTAATAAAAACATCATTAAATATTATTGATTGAAAATAACTATTTAATTCTATAAGTTAATCATTGACTGAAAAGACGTTTGATGGCAGTTTATACATTTCTGAAATAAGACGTTTGATCAGGGCTTCTTAATCTGGGGTCCATAGACCTCGTGAAGATTAGATAAAAATTTATATTCGCTATACAGGCTTTGGCCCCAATCAACTGTTTCCCATTGAGAGAAATAAAATAAAATGCATCCTGCCACAGCTTGAAAGAAAACACACCAAGCCACTACATTCAATGCCGACCTCTAGGTGTCTCTTGACTTGCTGTTGGGTTCATGTTTATCATTTAAACATGCGTCATTATTCTTTGCCCGACCGCCATCTTTTGCCACTCCTTAACAGCAACGGATAATTCTCATTTTCTACGGTTTATTACGGATTGTTTATCTTCTTGTTGCGGGGCGTCAAGCAGGTGTTGTTAACCACGCAAGCAGAAAAATTATGTAGGGTAATACGATCGGAGCAAGGACAACAATGGTGAGGATTTCAAAATCTAAGCCAATTTTATTTATCAATTTGGCAAAAGTATGTACAGGATTAGTTCAAAGTGAAGTCGGGGAGTGCCAGTCGAAGGATCGTTTTAGTTCATGGCGGCAGCTCAGAGGCAGGCAGATGCAACAGCTGTATTCTAGGTCCAATCGATCCTCGGATGTTCACCATTAAGAGGACCGCGTCGGCGTTCACGAAGAGAGACGATCGGCAGAGGCAGTGCTGAGGTAGCCTCTTCGTCCTTAGGAGGACTATCGCATAAGAATGTGCTGCTGCTGATTTCGGCTACAAGACTGGGAGCGACTGGCTTCACTGGTGATGGCAGATGCTGCTGAGTTTGGCTTCTTCAGGTCAGGGGTCAGCGACGAGGGTCGGCCAGGTGAAGGATAAGGGGAGAGGGGGGTACTTCGCTCTAACCCGGAACCGTCTTATTGGTGGAAGAAATCGGCTGCGTTTTGTGTCGGCTGCGGTTAGGCGCAGTTGCCTGGTTAACAATATCTTTTGGTTGTCGACTAAAAATGTACACATGGGTTTCATTTGACAACATGTTTATATAAATTAGTTTTTGGTCATTATTTTTTAGTTAGGAGGACTTGTGTATGTTTATGTTTCATTTTGTTTTGCTTTTTGTGTTTCGATTTCTGAAAACGCTGAGTCACCGGAAATTAACGGCATTCGTTCTGTTTTCCGTTGTGACGCTTTCAGACGTTTGCGTAGCCGGCAGTAATTTCCGACCGGGTGCGATATTCTCATATACTGGTGAGTATTAACTGACAACTATTTCTTTCAAGCGTGGCTGGCTGAAAAGTGATGTGTATACATGAGGGCACAGTACGAAGAAGGGCAACACTGATGTGGTTTTACAGAAGGATGATAAGAATACCAGGAACTGAACATGTGAGTAACGAGCAAGTTTTTAACTTCGCAAAAGCACAATTGTTGTGAAAAACCATTCAGACTGTGAGTATCTCTGTATGAAGGGCTAGTTCTTATAGGGGTCCGTGATTCAAGAAAGGTTAATAAACACTGCTTTAGAATTTCTGAAATAAAATAGCATTAAGTATTACGTAAGGTAAGTAATTCTATATATATGTATAAAAATAATATGAAATATTACTTACTGTTGTTTAAATTTAGCAAATGGGAACAATCGACGTTGTTTGTAAGCGTACAGGTTGTATTATCATTTATTTCTGAAAAACAAAGAATAACAACAAATTGAAATGACATCCACAAGATTAAGAGTTGTTTACAAACAACGAGAGTCTCTGTCACTATGCAACAAACGTCCTATTACAATTGTGCTTGTGTCTCCCTTCGTTAGTTCACATGACCATTACGTCTTGCCAATACCTAAATAAATAATGAACTATTTTGTTTTGATCGCGTGGAAAGTGAGGGAAGAGACACTACTTGGTTTCAGCGAGAAACAAGAAAGAAAGAAAGAAAAAAAGAAAGAAAGAAAAAAAGAAGTGTTTAACGTGTCCTGTCAATACCTTATAAATAATGGACTATTCCGTTTTGATCGCGTTTCGATGAGAAAATTAAAGAAAGAAAGAAAGAAAGAAAGAAGAGAAGATAGAAGTGCTTAACGTTTCTTGTCGATGCTTCATGAATAATGGACTATTCCGTTTTGATCACGTGGTAAGTGGGAAAAGACATTACTAGTTTTCATTGAGAAAAATAAAGAAAGGAAAGACGGAAGGAAGGAAGGAAGGAAGGAAGGAAGGAAGGAAGGAAGGAAGAGAGAAAAGTTAGAAGTGTTTAACGTCTCCTGCCAATACCTCATAAATAATGGACTAATCCATTTTTTATCGCTTGGAACGTGGGGGGGGGGATACACTACCTGGTTTCAGTGAGAAAATGAAAGAAAGAAGGGAAGATAAAAGTGTTTGACGTCTCTTGTCAATACTTCATGAATAATGGACTATTCCGTTTTGATTGCGTGGGAAGTGGGAGAAGGCATTACATGGTTTCAAAAAGAAAGAAAGAAAGAAAGAAAGAAAGAAAGAAAGAAAGAAAGAAAGAAGCAAACAAACAAAGAAGTGTTTAACGGATACTTCAGTAAAATGGAAAAACTTGTCAATTTACAATCTTTTCATTTGTACCCCCTTACTTCTTAAAATCACGACCGTCAATCATATTTATGATTGTTATTCAAATATTTTGTTGTTAGGTTCAAATATTTACCGATGCGATAGGGGAATTTCTACTGATATTTTATTGTCGTATTGTCACCATGAGCTTACTCAACCATTAAGAATTAAGATTCATCAGAAAATTAAAATAGGAAAACCGTGAAATATTCACGGGTCTTTCTGATTATCATTATAATTCTGTATATTATTCCTGTATTTCCTTAGTTAGCACGTACGTTACGTCCTGCCAATGCCTACTGCACGGAAAGTTGGTTCACTGTGTCATTCTACACATTTTTTCTCGCTCGAATCTAACTTACATATTTATAAGTCTACCATTCGTTTTTGCTTTGAATATTGCTGCCACATCTGGTCTGGTGCCCCTGCTAAATTTTTAGAGATTCTTGATATAATCCAAAAAAAGAATCTGAAATGTTATTCGTCTTGACCTGGCATGTCGGCTTCAGTCTCTTTCTGATTCTAAGTATAAGCGTCCTTTTTGTGTCCGTTTTTCTTCGTTCAGTCCTCTTTTCTTTGTTTCTGTTGCTTCAAGTCTCTTCTTCATCTGTGAGGAGATTGTCCAGCATTCACTGCCATATAGGAGGACTGATATTACGTAACAGTTCAGTACACTTTTCTTTGTTTCTGTTGCTTCAAGTCTCTTCTTTATCTGTGAGGAGATTGTCCAGCATTCACTGCCATATAGAAGGACTGATATTATGTGATCGTTCAGTACTATTTTCTTTGTTTCTATTGCTTCAAGTCTCTTCTTCATCTGTGAGGAGATTGTCCAGCATTCTCTGCCATATAGGAGGACTGATATTACGTAACAGTTCATTACACTTTTCTTTGTTTCTGTTGCTTCAAGTCTCTTCTTTATCTGTGAGGAGATTGTCCAGCATTCACTGCCATATAGGAGGACTGATATTACGTAACAGTTCAGTACTCTTTCTTTGTTTCTTTCTTCAAGTCTCTTCTTCATTTCCAGCATTCACTGCCATATAGGAGGACTGATATTACGCAACAGTTCAGTACTCTTTTTTCTTTATTCAAGTTGCTTCAAGTCTCTTCTTCATCTGTGAGGAGATTGTCCAGCATTCTCTGCCATATAGGAGGAGGAACAGTTCATTACTTTTCTTTGTTTCTGTTCTTCAAGTCTCTTCTTCATCTTTGTTTCACTGCCATATAGGAGGACTGATATTTCAAGTACTCTTTTCTTTGTTTCTGTTGCTTCAAGTCTCTTCTTTATCTGTGAGGAGATTGTCCAGCATTCGCTTCAATATAGTAGGACTGACATTACGTAACAGTTCGACGAGAGATTAAAATCATGTAATAAAAACTATATTCAGAATAGACGGGCCTGGCCGACTATTTATATTTTCACATTTTTTCAATATACTTAGTTATTCCAGATCCCTCATTTATTTTTATGGTATAGTAAACTTTTGCCCAGGGACGGTTGGCGGTACTTCGTTTCATCTGAATGAGTTTGTTACAAAAATCTGGTCTACCCGGATTAGGGGACATGTGGATGTCAGTTCGGAATGAGAAAGCGAAGAGCCGAGTTCGAAATCCGGTCGGATTTGTTACACTTACGCGATAATACCCTTGGGAAAAGACTTACGGCCACATCACGTTGAAACACAGGTTCCCTTACGATAACCGAAGTTAAGCAAGATCGAGTCTGGTACATCGCTAAATGGGTGACCGCTTCGTGCTGTCAGCTTGGATGTGCGGATGGTGTAATGGATAATGGCTTGGAAAGGCGAATTCCAATTTCAGTTCGGTTCGTTACACTTACACGCAAAATCCACTGGGAAAGGTATGAATCCATCCCTTCTTTCCCCAGCTATAGGGTATGTAGTAAGACTTCTGTCCCTAAAACCATTAAATTGCGTACAAAATATATAGATTTCGGGATTAAATAACCCATTGAGGTGTTGATATGCCGCTAAAAAACAATCAACCGACCTTGGGAAATGTATGAATCCATCTCTCTTCTCCACAGCTATGGGTTAAATAGTTCGTATAGTTGGCTACCATTCTATCTATTAGTTATGAATCGACAGAGTCCTGACTGTCGAAGCAGATTCCACTTCTGGCGCATGGCGTTCTTAGGACTTTTCTTACCGTGAGTAAAACAATTGATTGTATTCTACAACTTACCATCTGTGGTCCCAAAAGTAAAGATGATGCACAACAAACACGGGTAAATCCATAAACACAATGCCATCTTTCTAAAGAATTCAGATCTGCAACTAGAAATAAATATGGTTATTAATAAATTAAAAAAATGCTTTTCCTCAACTAATGATTAAAGCCGATTTCCAAAAGCAAACACGAAAACAAATTCCTTCCACGTTACCTATAAAAACATCCTCACCAGACGACTAAACAAAACCCCAGAACCCAATTTGAATAATACTTTGTTACAAATACCAAAACGCAAAAATACACGAAATAAAAAATATACAAAACAAATGAATAATATAAACGAATAAAATAATAAATAAATATTACAAATAAACAATCTGCTGCAGGGATCTGCAACCTTTTAATAACTATGTGTCAGCTTAGGGTTTTTGTGTGTGAACAGCATACGTATTTTTATACAAGTCAAGATTAATATACCTGTTCTACAATATATTTTATATAGTAATATATAGAATATATACCCTGTATAATACGCATGTTTTTCTAAAAAATAATAAGCAAAATTAGGGGTGCGTATTATGTACAGCTACAAAAAAAAATGTTTTAAAAATTGCCGTTTCATGGGTCGATTTCAGTTGTGAAATGACTACTCACCAGAAACATACGACAATTTGACACTAACATTCGGTGACTGCGACCCCATAAGGTTGTCAAATACAAACATATGTGCCTAAAAATACTTACAAATGTAAAATAAAATATGAATTATCATAAAACTAAATTAGAATAATATTATTCTATGTCTAAAACCATTTTTTAAAAATAAGAGTAGGAAACGCTGGCGTAATGAAATTGGAGAGGTACAATTATAGGGTTTGATTACCAAATAAGGGGTGCGTATTATGCGTGAGTAGAAGCATTTTCCCACACTTTCTGCACAATTTTAGGGGTGCGTATTATGGATGAAGGCGTATTAAACATGGGGAAGTACGGTACTTTAGAATTACGGTAGTTTTAAAATTGAAACAGTTACTTCTTTGCGTTGTAGTAGTTATTGGTTCGGACTTTGTGATGTCATTTGCGGCTGCGTGCCATTGGGAATTGCTTGGCGTGCCTCGTGTGGCACGCGTGCCGTAGATGGCCGATCCCTGATCCGGAGGTTATGACAATAGATAAACCTACGCTACTTACATACATAGTTCGTTCAACAGCGTAAGTAGGCAATTTAGGAGGACATGAACATAAATTAACCTCAGCATTAGCCCATAAAAAAGGGAAGTTTGACTGGTTTCATCTTTTCCGCACTAGCCTTACTGACCTTCATACACAAACTGCTGTACACACACACACATGCACGCACATACACACCCACAAACGAACCAAAAACACACACACACACACACACATATATATGTATATATATATATAGGTACGATGAGAACGAACAGAGTACAATTCCAACGTTCGTAACATTTAATTTAAAAGAGGGCTAAAGTAGAGCAATATTATTTATTTTATTTCAGAAAACATGCCAAAATCGCTACACAATTGCAGTCGTGTTTCGGTGCGTATCAATGAGTCTCATCATATATATATATATATATACATATATATATATATATATGCTGACGATTGCATATAGCATGAAACAGACTGTCGCCTCTAAGTGTTGACTTCTATGTTCACTTTTATATTTACACACGCTCTATCTCTGATATTGAGCACTTTATCCCATAAATATAGCACACCTTAAGACTATATTTATATATATATATATATATATATATATATATATATATATATATATATATATATATATATATATGCATCTCATCAGGCGATTTATTTAGATTTAACGTAGGTCATATTTGATCGGTCGATCAGAGTGAAGCCCACAAACCTTATAAGCCCCACCTTTGCTTTTTTTTCTTGTAATAAGAGGTTGTATTTTGCTTTTAAATCTAAATAAATCATTCACTCGACAGTAATTTACAATCGCCTGATGAGATGCATATATATATATATATATATATATATATATATATATATATATATATATATATATATATAATGGACTCTCCTGTCGGTTTCGACGTATGAGGATCTGACAGATTATTGATTCAGTTATGAAAGTTTGTGCGATAATCTCAAGTGGGATTTAAGACCCACTAGTGATTTACAAAGGAGGCCACATATGGAGCAAGTGTGAGGATTGTGAGATGAGATCACTGTTAGATTGGCTGACCTTTTAGATCTTGCTCTCGCTTCTTGAAGATGATTCGGACAAGCAGATTGAAAAGTCCTCTATAACACTAAAGAGCTTGGTCAGCCCTGGAATATATATATATATATATATATATATATATGTGCGTGTGTGTGTGCGTGTGTGTGTGTGTGTGTGTTTGTGTGTGTGTGTGTGTGGTTGAATAATCGATTATGTTTATTTTTCTTTTAATCCTTTCAAATTCACGGATCAATTTCTTAATGTTGTTATTAAACACTTTAAGGAAGACAATTAACCTTTTGTCTTAGCCATTCACCCCTGAAGATGATTTGGGATGAGATTGAAATTGTTTGGTAAAATAAATGAAATGACGAAAACTACGGCGCCTTCCTTAATTGCTTTAATAACAACATTAAAAATTTGATTCGTGAATTCGGGAGGACTAAAAGTAAAATAACAGAGCTAAAATTTATACTAATAATTTACATTTAGTACAGATTGTTTGGTACAATTCTGACGGGCCAATAATCAGGCAGAAATTGAAAACTGACCGTTGTAAAATTTCAGTATTATAAAATTACTAATGTTAGTGGAGCAGTCGTTTGAATACTTGCTAAAAGACTAATAACTGTTCTATTTACCTATAGAAGCAATTCCCTTTTTGGAAAAGAGCATTCATATTCATTTTCTTTCGAAAGGTGGAATTTTTCCTTTAATACTTTTTATCTATTTAGTCCAGTTGTTATTAATTCCATTGTTTAAGAAAATAAATTACAACGACACTAACACGAAAGGTATTTTCAGTGATTAGGAATTAATACAAAGATAGAATAGGGCTATTATATGTATAATGTAAATGCATTGCTAATGATTTTACAATAAGAATGCATTGAAAATCAGGAAGAAAGGAATTGTTAGTGGTCAGGAATTAATGCAAGCATTACTGATAGAATAGGGCTATTATATGTATAATGTAAATGCATTGCTAATGATTTTACTATGAGAATGCATTGAAAATCAGGAAGAAAGGGATTGTCAGTGGTCAGGAATGAATGCTAGCATTACTGATAGAATAGGGCTATTATATGTATAATGTAAATGCATTGCTAATGATTTTACTATGAGAATGCATTGAAAATCAGGAAGAAAGGGATTGTCAGTGGTCAGGAATGAATGCAAGCATTACTGATAGAATAGGGCTATTATATGTATAATGTAAATGCATTGCTAATGATTTTACTATGGGAATGCATTGAAAATCAGGAAGAAAGGGATTGTCAGTGGTCAGGAATTAATGCAAGTGATAGAATAGGGCTATTATATGTATAATGTAAATGCATAATGATTTTACTATAAGAATACAGGAAGAAAGGGATTGTCAGTGGTCAGGAATGAATGCAAGCATTACTGATAGAATAGGGTTATTATATGTATAATGTAAATGCATTGCTAATGATTTTACTATAGGAATGCATTGAAAATCAGGAAGAAAGGAATTGTTAGTGGTCAGGAAATAAATGTAAGTATTACTGAGAGATAAGAGAATTATTTTATGGCTAATATATATTCATTAGTGATGGCTATATATATCTATATCTATATATATCTATATATATATATATATATATATATATATATATATATATATATATAGAGAGAGAGAGAGAGAGAGAGAGAATGCCTTTAAAATCAGGAAATGCAATGCAATTATCAGTAGAAAATAATTGCTATAATTACATTTCTAATGGTTTTCTATAAAAATGCATCGCAAATAAGGAAGGAGGGATTGTAAGTGGCCAGGAATTTGCACAAATGTTATGATAAAATTGTGGTATTCTAAGTATAATGTAAACGCATTGGTGATATTTTTAATATTATAATGTGTTGAAAATGAAGAAGGAAGTGATTGTCAGCGGTCAGGAATTAATGCAAGTGTTACTAACAAAACAGGTCTACGGTATGCAGTGTAAAATCGTTGCCAATTATTTTCTTGGAGAATGCATTGAAAATCAGGAAGTTAGTGAGTGTCGGTCAGGACCAGAAGCAAGCCTTACTGACAGAATTGGTGTTAGGTATCTCCAAGGGAAGACAATACCATAATGTTTAAAATGATTTTTAAAAAAATGAAAAATCTTTCTTGAAGCTTTTATTTCAGTTTTAATTTCAAGCTAATAGATTACATTTAATAATCCCAATAAACAAAATACTTTGCTGTATTTCAAAAGGAATTTAAATTGATTGGAATGAGTTTTCTAAAATAGCTAAGAATGGCTGATTTAAGCATTTTAGCCATTTTTACAATCTTCACAGCACAACGTAATTCTCTTTATTAAAAATCTTTCAAAAATAAAATATACTTTTCTGAAACTATTTGTAGGAAGATTAGCTGATTTAAAGTTTAGTTAATCTGATTTGATATATATATATATATATATATATATATATATATATATATATATATATATATATATATATATATATATATATATATATATATATATATATATATATATATGTTACGAAATGGACAAAAGTCCGACAATTATTTTAAGACATTTTATGTTTATACATTCTTTTTATATGAAAATTTCTCGGACTTTCAGGCTGGTAAATGTTGTTTAATACTGTTTATTATAAACAGAGCATTTACTTAAATATTTGTATCTATAAAAAAGAATGTATAAACATAAAATGTCTTATATATATATATATATATATATATATATATATATATATATATATAATCGTTTTAGTTTAAAACATCGCAGAAAGCATTTTTAACACGAAGGTGCGTGTTTTTATGATATGTTCACAACTATCTTGATGGACTTATACAATTTTCTAAGGGGGACATATCTGTAAAATTACTTGACTATAATGTGAGTACCTTTTTTATATATATTTTTAAAATATTCAGTAATCTTAAGAATTTAGTAATTTAATGTTTTATTAGATTTTAGGTACTTTTAGATATTACATTTACTAGTTACCGCTATTATTTTATGATAGTGTCATGTATAAGCGTCCGTATTTACAAAAGAATACGCACAATAAATTTTAATTTTTTTATAGAATACTTGGGGCAAGCTGAATTGTAGTAAGCTTTTTCATTTATGATTAGTAAATATAGTTTTTACTTAATAACAATATCATCTAACGGCTGCAAATTCATAGAAAAAATTAAAAGTTTTAAAACTTTATAAATTATTTGAATTATAATTAAAAAATGCAAACAATTGTAAAATTCATAATTCATCGAAAAAAAAAAATGATTTTTCTTAAACAGTGTCCATAATATATCTTATTCATAAAAGCAATTAAGAGGTTTTCTAATTAAATAATGTCTTAGATTTCTTGAATTTTTTATCCTACGATTCAAAGCAGTAACTGCAGGTCTTGTTTTACAAATAACATTGATGATTTAAATTCTCCAAATATTTCTGCTTATAACTAATTAAACAGAGCAAAAAAAAAAAAAAAAAAAAAAAAAAAACTTCTCGAAATTTCTTAAAATTAAAACAAGAGCTGGGTAACACATGTAAAAAATATTTTACCATGATTTTCTAAAAGAGAAACGTTTCTAAAATAATTTCATTCATTTGTGAATAAATCCTGAAAGTTTCATCAAGATCTGATAATTATTTGATTTTTGGATGAATTTCCAAATCAATGCGTTTTCACCGAAAAAAAAGACGCTAAAATTTCCTATAATAATTTATAGTCATCCGTTTGGTGTATGAAAAAAAAAACTAAAAAAAAAAAAAAAACTAAAATAAATTCTGAAGGTTCTGAAAAGGATTAAAAATTACTATTTAAATCCTTTGGTCGTTCCCCTTCATAATAACATAATAATTGTTTTTATTACGTTTTGGACATTTTTTCATCATGTATACTCATTTTTCAGCGAATCTTTGAAGGTGCCTCGGCTATTATAATTGCTAATGGTTTTAATATTGAAATGCATCAGGAGGAATGGGATTATCAGTGGTCAGGATTTAATGGATGTTATACTGATAGAATAGTGCTATTATAAATTATAATGTAAATTGCTAATGATTTTACTGAAGAAATTAAAAAATTTCCAAAAAACATTGGTTCAGGTCAAGAATTATTGCTATCATTACTAATAAAATAGAACTATTATATGTCTACTAATATACAGTGAGGAGAAACGAATATTCGTAAACATGCAAAGTTTTAATTTATTGTATTTCCAACGAATATATAAACATACTTTTCATATAATTAACTGTACAAAGATGCATAATAACAAAATATGCAAGAAAACAGAAAAAATATGATTTAATAGAAATAAATCCCATTTATCCATTTTGATGGGTGAAAAAAGTATTCATACAATACAAAAAAGAATACATAATCTTCATTTAATACTTTGTAGAATAGCCATTATTCACTTCTAGAGCAAACCAACATCTTGTATTTCTCAATTAATGATTTGTAAATTTTACTTGGTATTTTGTTCCATTCTTCTTTGCATATAGTCTTCAGATCCGGGATGTTTGTTGGAGCTCTCGATTGAATTTGAATTTTCAAATAACGCCACAGATTCTTGATTGGGTTTAAATCTGTGGACTGATTTGACCATTTCAGGATATTTGCATTATTTTCAGCAAGCCATTTCTCCGTAGATTTTGCAGTGTGCTTAGGATCATTACCTTGTTAGAAGATCCAGCCAAGAAGTTCAGGATTTTCAACCGAAATCATTAAATTTTGCTTCCAAAATATATTAGATATTTTGTCAGCACCTTTTGCAGAAAAATAAAACGATGATGCTACTACCACCAAATTTCTCTTGGAACTGTGTTCTTTTGTCTGAAGGCATCACCATCTTTCCTCCATACATAATTACTCAATTTTGGTTTCGTCTGGTTTTCCCAAAACGATTTTTCCTTATCCTTATGTTCATGAACGAATTTCAACCTGGCATCTCTGTGTCTTTTCAATAGCAGTGGAGTTTTCCGATGGGAGCGTGATTGTCCCGATGGATTTCAATGCTTATTGTCCGTATAGTGACACAGATTCCTGATGAAAGCAAATCATCCTGTAACTCTTGACAATTAACCATTGGATTTTGTTTAATTTGGCGATCTTTGAAGATCTTGAAGAAATCTTCCGTAGAGCAAATGTTCTTCCTTGGTTTTCAACAATTTTGTTTTTTTTTATACCTTACAAGAATGATATAATGGTAGTAAATGGAATATTCAGGTTGTCTGAGATTTTCCTGTAATTTTTACCTTCTTTCCATTCAGTCTGTTTATTTTGCGAATTTGTCAATTCTTTACCTATTGCCAATTACAGAATGTTCTGTTTGTATTTTTAGGTTAAAAATAAATATTAAAGTACTTTAAAAATTTCAAAATCTGAAATTTGCATTGTGCAAATACTTTTTTCATCCATTAAAATGGATAAATGGGATTTATTTCTATTAAATCATTTTTTCTGTTTTCTATGCATATTTAGTTATTATGCATCTGTGTACAGTTAATTATATGAAAAGTATGTTTATTCATTAGCTGGAAATACAATAAATTAAAAATTTGTATGTGTACGAATATTTGTTTTCCCCCCCCACTGTGTATGTGTTTATATACATGTTTGTGCATGTATATCCCTGACATACACTTTTAGCCCAGTCTCGTGTAATATGCGTAATTCACAAAGTTTTTTTTCCGCTCAAAATAAAAGCCGATAAAGATATTATATGAACATTATTGGAATTTTTTATCGTAGAATAAATGTAAAAAAAAAAAAATATCTAAAACAAACCTGGAATAGATTTTCCCCCGCGAGATTGTAGTGTGTTCCGTTTGAAAGTTGGGTTGAAGATGTTTGGAAATCTAGCAAATCACTTATTTATCTGGGATCCAAAGAGGTGCACTGAAAAATGTTTTTCTTAGGCGTAAACAAGAGGAAAGAAAGTGAATACCACTTCCTGGAAAGGTGAAGAGGACAAACCTAGAAATTTTAATCTCAACGGAAACACATAAAGAAAGATGGATTCTTTGAAGCGAGCAAACAGCGTCCGGAAACAACAAACAAAATTCACTGACCAGTATAAATGCCAGATAATAAAATGATTGAAAATCGTTAAACTCATGTACGTAAACATGTCTCATCATTGTTATCCCAGGATAAGCAGAAAGATTTAGGAGAACAATTGTGCAAACTATTTTTTCTATTTTACACCTTTCTTTGCACAGTCGATGAAAAGCATAATGCTCTTCCAGTCATGTAAACCTTGACAGATTGGGTTGTGTTGAAGATATCAGTCCTTGTTTATCTTTTAAAAAGTCTTTCATAGTTTCATTTACTCGTACCTCACGGTAATGTAAAGTCACACAAGGTCGGTTTAATGTATGTAGCTCAAGCGCGTGCACCTGGGCTATGACATCGAAGTCCTTAAAAATGAAAAAGCAAATTAGGATTCGGTAGTAAATTGAATTTTAGGTACTTTGGCTTTATCAATTTACTTATAAAGATGCTTGTTGAGGAAATGTTAGAAAATAACCAATAAATTTAAATTTTACTGCAGTTACTGCTATTTTTTTTTTTTTTTTTTTTGATAATATCGTGTATGGGTGTCCAAATTTACAAAAATCGGCACGTTTGTACACACGCAAAAATATTCAAAATTCATTTTAAAATACTGGTGGCCGCTGAATTGTAGTAAATGTCTCTATTTAAGATTAGTAAATATAATTTTTAATTAATAACAATATCACCTAACCGCTACAAATTAATACAGAAATTTAAAAGTTTTAAAACTTTGTAAGTCATTCGAATTAAAATTTTTAAAAAATGTAAACAATTGTAAAATTTCTTTATTCATCGCAAATATTTTTAAAGAAAGTGTCCATACTATAACTTATTCATAGAAACAATTAAAAGCTTTTCTAATTAGAGAATGTTGTAGTTTTATTGCATATTTTATTTAACGATTCAGAGCAGATTTTCTGTAAAAAACGTTAATGTATTAAATTCTCCATTGACTTGTGCTTATAATTAATATTAAGCGCTACATAAAGGAATTTCTCGAAATTTCATAAAATTAAATAAGAGGCGAGTAACTTATATATGAAAACATTTTTACTAGATATTTTTTAAAAAAAGAAACATTTCTAAAATATTTTAAATCATGTATTAATAATTCCTGAAGGTTTCATTAAAACCCGACAATTATTTGATTTTGCCAAGAATTTCCAGTTTGTGTTTCCAATACTAATTTATGACCACCCGTTGACGCAAGAAAACCAAATTAAAATGTTTTTTTTTAAGTTTTTAAAAAAGGATAAAAAATATAATTTACTGACCAAAATTCCATTGGTCTATCCTCTTAATAATAATATTAAGATTATGGCGATAAAACTTTGTTTTTATTAAGTTTGGGACATTTTTTCACCATGTATTTTTAACGAATCTTTGGCACACACACACACACACACACACACACACACACACACACATATATATATATATATATATATATATATATATATATATATATGTGTGTGTGTGTGGTTTATATTCTGAATTTTAGCATTTTTAATTCTTCGATGTTTGCCAAGTCTTTGTTTCCTGTTGTATGACGAAACGGAATAAACCATCCCCGAATCCGGATGTTTTGTTTGTTAGTGAAACTGAACGAGGAGGGCCAATCCTGGAGGCTACAAATCTGCCTTGCCCATTGGAGGTTTCAAGACGTCTGTCTTTAAGATATTTATTAAGATTGATATAGCCTGGCACACGGTCATCAGGGTGTAAGATGCTCTCCTTTGGCCTCTGAGGTTGCTTTTTATATATTTACATATCATACAGATTTCACTCACGAATGCACATCCCACGTGCTATCATATCGGGCAGGTGTGCCACAGGGTATAGCAGGTCATTTCTCAAGTCAACGCGCCTGGCTTCTTTGGAGATCTGGTGTGACATTGAGTGCAATGTCTATTCTTGAATCCTCTGAGGTGAGTCCAGGACATATTGGGGACACCACAGATTAACTCCTCTAAGAATAAAGATTCCGTTCAGAACATCTAGTATTTCAGGGTATGAATCATATGCTATCACTGAGCCCTTTTAATGTTTTTAAACTAACTTTCTTAAATTATAATTTAATTGAATTTAATGTCTTAAATTTAATCAAATTGCTCACTAAATGTACGCAAAGGTCTCCAACGTTTTTACTCCGGTTCTATGCCATAAAACCAGATCTTTCTACATTTAACTCTGTTGAACTTTATCCATATTCTTGGAGCACAGCATGAATGAGTCACCAATTACCGCATAAAACATTTAAAATTATTATGCTGTAATATCAATTGTCCTACAATTTCCTCACAGATGAAGAGAAGACATGAGGCAACAGGTATGTGATTCTACAGATAGAGGCCGAGAATACTATGACCTGATCATGTGAGCAATATGGAAATTTTAAGGAAAAAGACTCTTAAAAGAGAAGAGTGGTGACCTACTATGTAATATCAATCGTCCTTATATGGCAGTAAATGCTGGACAGTTTCCTCAGAGATGAAGAGAAGAAATGAGGCAACAGAGATATGATTTTACAGAAGGAGGGTGGGAATACCATGGACTGAACATGTAAGCAATAAGGAAGTTTTAAGGAAAAAGACACTTAAAAGAAAAGAGTGCTGACCTGCTATGTAATATCAATCGTCCTTATATGGCAGTGAATGCTGGACAGTTTCCTCAGAGATGAAGCAACAAATATGTGATTCTATAGAAGGAGGCTGAGAATACCATGGACGGTGCATCTGAGCAGTGATGACGTTTTAATTGGGAATAAAAACAACACATCTACTTTCAATCGGAATGAGACAGTTAAAATCTACTCACCATAAAGAAGAGGTCTTGGAGAATTTATCACTCACATGTTATACTGAATGAATGCGAGGCAGAGGGACTCATTTATTTAACGAAAGCCTAAGAGGTATAGTAAAGAAACAAACATTATTTAGCGTTACTAATGGTAGGAAATTGTGGAGAATCATTATCACCCTCTTCCCGAAGGGGTTACGGTACATCGAAGAAAAAAAATGTCTGTCTCAATTCCGCAGAAATGAAAGTCCTATTTTCTTGCTTTCCATTCTAAATTGTAGCGTCAATTGCCATTTTTCTGTCTTGCTGAAACCTGTTCCTTTATTGTCCTTTCTCTTCGCTACAGTCTTATTCTCTTTCACTCCCAGCATCTCCTTGCGTCTTAGAGGCATTATCGCCTTGCTTAGGGTGAAATATTTAAAAAACTGTTATGGTCCGGTTCCTTGTACCACGGTGATAGTCCAAGGTAGAACCAATAAAGAAGAACTCAAACACAGGTATGGAATAACACAGATATATTACAAACAGGAATATATACAGAGAAGAAGGAGTGTTAGTATGAACAATCAGGTTTAGTAGAGAGAACAATGTAGTCTCGACCAGTATCACTATTCCAATGTCTTGCAATAATTGTCTGAACGCGACTCTGTTTCGGACTGCCTCTGACTCGACTCTTGACTCGACTTGAACTACTGACTGACTGACGATATTCAGTCACCCCCCACGAGGTCGTCATGTGGCACAAGGCCGGGTTTTTTAACGTGGGATATCCGATCCCGTGGGCTCGGCTCAAAAATATGCCCATTGAACCCGTATAAACAGGTTCAAGGTCGGTTTACCTCCCCGAAAGAGAATCCGCCCTTCGGCGTAGCCTCCTTCGGGTTCCTCCCCGCCCGAAGGCAGAGAGTGCAACCGTTCAGCCGGTCATCCGACATCGACTGTGGAACTATTGATTGACTCCTTGCCTACTCCAGAGGCGCAGTATTTAAGTATGGAATAGTCCATTATTATTATTATTACGATCCCATAACAAAAAGTTCATATTGATCCTTAATAAAAACGGATTTAGGTTATAATTTTTTTTTTTAAATTGTTATTTAATTATCCTATGTTTTTATAATTTTGCAGAAACAAGAAATCTTTCTTGGGAAACAGATTAGAATATTCCAGAACCTATACTGAAAGCAAATCACCAGCACATGGATATAAAATGAATTCAGTAAATATAAAATAGGATAAACGACAACGATATGTCATCACACCGGACTTATTCAATCTATATAATGCCGCGATTCTGAGAGAATTAGAAATCCTACTAGGATTCATTATTGGCGGCCACAATAAGATATACAGATGACACAGTTTTGATAGCAAGCAGAGAAAGGAAACTGCAGGAGCTCGTACAGAATCTAGTGAATGAAAGCGAGAAAATAGGACTAAACGTAAATTGAAAAAAGATAGAATGTATGGTCGTTAGCAAAATGGAGTAGCTCAACAAGAAAATTGCAGATTGGAGAAAGCAAAATAAGCAAGTAGAACAATTTGAATTTTAACAGAAGACGGAAAGTGCGACACTGAAACTCGAAGGTGCATTGGTATAGTGAAAGATGCCTTCCAAAATATAAGCAACATATTAAGAAATAGGAAAATTTCTTTAGAAGCAGAGAACTGATTAAGTCTTACGTAATATCAGTCCCACCTATAATGTAATGAATACTGGACAATTCCGACATTTTACGCGGCAAAAACGGAATAGTCCATGAATTAGCGCTTAGTGCTATTTTTTAATTTTCATATTTCAGAATAGTCCATTATTTATGAGGTATTGCCAGGAGAAGTTAAACACTTCTTTAGTTTACTTAAACCAACTAACGTCTCTGGTATATCTTTTCTGGGTTTTTTTCTCACGCGATCAAAACTGAGCAGTTCCTTATTTATGAAGTACTGGCGGGAGGCGTTAAACACTTCTGTATTCACCTCTTTCTTTATTTATTTCTCTTTTTCACTGAAACCAAGTAGCGTCACAGATATGCCTTTTCCATCTTTCCACGCGATCAAAACCGAATAATCCATTGTTTATGAGGTATTGGCAGGAGTCGCTCATTGAAAGCGAGTAGCTTCTCTGATATATCTTTTTTGTTTTGTTTTTTTTTCACGGGGGAATAATTCATTATTTTTTAGGTATTGGCAGGAGACGCTAAACACTTCTATTTTACCTTCTTTTTTCATTTCTTTCTTTCTCTGAGTTCAAGTAGCGTCTCTGATATGTTTTCCCGTCTATTCACGTTATCCAAACTGAATGCCTCATTATTTATGTGGAATTGGCAGGGGGCGTTAAAGTATTGTATCTTCCCTTCTTTCTTCCTTTCATTTTTTCTT